CGTGAAAATATATTTTTTTCTAAATTATTTTGTAGATATAGTAAAAAATGTTCGTTTCTCATGAGATTCAGATTTAAAAAATAAACTGATAACAAATGGAAAGTGCTCGAGTTGTAATTCAAGAAGGAAATATTTAGTGAAAAAATTATTTGTCTATACAAACTAATCAATGTAAAAAAAATGGCAAATTTTAAATGTAAATATTTTGAAATTTTTAGAGCGCATCTATTACACAATATTTTTGTGAACTTGAAAGTAATCTTTAAAATAATTATTTTATAGAAATCTAAAAAATATCAAGGTATATTTCACAAACCATTAATTAAACCATTATTTCTGTAGTATACTTCCGTCAGTCATCGACTGGAGGTCCATAAAAAATTAACTCAGGTATTTGTCCTCCCTGCACCCCTGTACCATTCGTACTTTCTGAACTGCATTGAAATTGAAAGTTTACATTACCAACTGTTATTTCTGACATGCCTTCCTGACCAAAATAGCTTAACTCTCCTCCATCTAATATTACACTAGCTGTATAAAAGCATTCTGGTTCAATTTGTATTGGATTTTCAAAATATACATGGAACGTATTACTTGAACCATCAGAAAAAAATTTAGTACTATTTTCTGATAAAACACAACCCAATCTTTTTAGTTCGATTCTAATATTGTAATCTGCAGCACCAGATGAGCTTCCATACAGTCCAAAACCAACAACAAAAATCCTTTTATCAACACTAAATTGAATTGAATCACACCGGCCTCTGTAACGCCATTGATTTGATCTGTATGCACATGACTGAAACCTGTGACACACCTGTAAATAGAAAATGAATTATCTTCGTTTTAATTTGCATAAACTATACAAATATTTTCTTTGTATATTTACTTCCTAAAATTTACCTGAGTCTTTAAACCTTGTCGAGGTTTAATGGGAAAACAAAGTTGAGGTTTATTACTAGCAGTGAAATGCAGAAAGACGTCAATTGTTTCTTGTTGCGTTAAGATTCCAGTTTGTGCAGCACTATTGGCAAATTCTTCCAAATTCATGGCAGGAAGTCTAATTAAATATAGAGCAGATCCTAGAATTGGAAATGGAAATAGTCACACTACTTTTATATTTTAAAAATATCTATAACGATATTTACCTAGCAATCGTCTTTGATTTGCTGCTGAGGGTTCAAGTTCTTGCCTAATGCATTCTGCTGTAGCCCATCGCAGAGCAGCATCCCATATATGAATTTCTTTACAGTTTAATGTTTCCCGAGAAAGTACGGATTCAAGAGTATGTATATCAATATCCACAAAACCATCTGATCTTAGTGCCATTTCTGCCTAAATAATATTATGTTTTTTACTTACAATAATCATTTTTAAATTCACATGCATTTTCTAATTTTACAGAAATCTTCAGTTTTACAAAATGATCTTCTATCGTACATCATGTTATGAACAAGAAACATATACAAATTTTTTTTGTATTATTCTAAATTACTTTTTTAACAAAAACAAATGTTTAAAACTCTTTTAATAAATCCAAATTTGAGCAATACATTTTTAAAACTTTATAACAAAATATAATTATGAATTTTTTTGTATATATATTATACATCAAACATATATGAAGTACTACTGTATTCTGTGTTAAAAATGATTCCAAATTATCACATGTAACTACTATGT